CCACCGCAGCGCCGCGTGGCCTCGGTCCTGTCCCCTGGCCCCCCCTGCACCGCATTGCTGTTGTGGAGCAGGATTGGGGCGCTGCTTTTTTGGTTTTCTTTGCCTCTGTAGCTTCGCTTTCCACTTCATTTTGTGTTCAGATCTGCGGGGGGCACTGCTGGATGTTAATGAGGGTGACGAGGCTGCTTGGGGAGGTTGGTGCCGGTGTTTGCGCCTTGCTTGCGCCACCCTGGGAGCTTCTGTCGCCCTCAGGTTGCCCACGGCCTGTACGTCCCCTGTCCAGTTGCCCACATTTGCTGCGCTTTTCGGGACTCTTCCCTGGGACTTGCTTGCCTTTTACCTGCAGCTCCTGGGGCGACCACCTCTCTCTTTCCTGCTCTTCTTGGGGACTGTGGCAGAATACCATCTCCTCTCTCCCCAGCCTCCACTATGTGACAATTTGGTTGCCGTGGTCACTGCAGAGGGCAGACAGGGCTGGCCCCCATTGGCTCCAGGGGACCCTGAGCTGTAATCTGAGCTGGATGCATTCCCGAGGGAGGGGGACCTGCTCCCTCTGCCTGCGTGACTGGCATCACACCCCTGGGTGAGGGGGCCTAAACTCCCAGTTGTTGCAAGCAATGCCAACCTGACTGGGAGGGGGCTACAGACCCTGCCAGTCTACCCGGCAACCAGTGAGGCATTTCAGATTGGTTGGCTGGCAGCCAGCAGCTGCTGGCCTCCATTGGACCCGGTAAATGAGGTTGTAAGGCCTATACAAGTTAAGGACTGCCCAGGAGGCAGGGCACCAGCCATGATGAGAACTCGAGGATAGTAGCTGGACCAGCTGAAACTCGCTCTCTCTTGAGACTCATGGTCAAGCAGCTGCCTGCCTCCGGAGGCAATCTCCACCTGCCTCTGGATGATACTCGTGAGTAAGCTACCTGAGATCTAACTAAATATGTAGCTTGCAGTAGCTCGGATGCCTGATCAACGGCTACCATGCCACTGTTTGCTCTAAGGGATTTCTCTAATATTGCTGTCCCCCAGGGGTGGGCAAAATGCGGCCCGGGGGCCAGATGTGGCCTGCCAGGCCGTTGTATCCGGCCCGCAGGGCCCCTAAAAAATTCAGAAAATGAATATTTCTCTGCCCTGGGCTGCCTGTTATATGGCCCTTGACGGCTTGCAGAACTCAGTAAGCGGCCCTGTGCCCAAAATAATTGCCCGTCCCCGCTCTACCCTGTACCCTACTCCAAACCTAGTCCTTGTAATCAGTAAAGTTCTCCTTTATACCTAGCGTGGGAGACTTACTGGGAGCGGGTCTAGATTCTGCCCTGGGGTCCCCTTGGTTTGGCTGACTAAGGGAGACCGCTGCTTGTGCTTCGGACTCGGGGAAGCACCCCAAGGTGTTGCAGTGGGTCAGGTCCCCTCAAGGACTGCTAGGCCTGTGTTTCCCAGAGGTGCAGGTCCAAGATCAGTCCAGACTCTGGGTAGTGCAGCGTTACCCCCAGGCTAGCGGGTGTGCTCCAGCAGGGGGGTCGGCCAGACGGGAGGCGCCTCCAGGGAGGCACCCGGAGCCTGGAAGGTGGTCCGGCGCAGTGAGGTTGGTGGCTCAACGTCGGAGCGCCCCCTACTGGCCCGCCACAGGGACGCTCTCTTTTTCCTGCTATAATTTGGGACTCTCTCTTTTCTGCTGTGCATTGGGTCGGTCTTTCTCTCTCTGCTGCTGATCCTTGGGGCACTCTCTCTCTTTTTCCAGATCTGCCTTGGGACTTGCTCTGATTCTCTCTCTGTCTCTGTGTCTTTCTCATTATTTCCTGTTGATCCTTGGGGCGTCTCTATCTCTTTCCTGCTCTTTTTGGCCTAGTTTCTTATGGGTTTTTTGTTGTTCCTTGGGACTCTCTCCCTGTCTTTTCTGCTGTTCTTTAGGTGTCTCTCTCTCTCTCTCTTTCCTGCTCTTTTTGGCCTAGTTTCTTATGGGTTTTTTTTAAAACCTCTCTCTCTCTCTCTCCGTGTGTGTATAAAAATTATTAAATTGTTGGTAGGATTATGTATAATCCAGTGCACGTTCCACTGATTACATCTGCTTCTGCTTTGATGTACAAGTGAATAGCATAGTGCCAGGCCCCTGGTATAGTACCACAGCGTCTAGTTTCCCTTTAACTGTAGAAAAATATATGGTGTTTTCTATATGATGAGGCACGAGCCCCTCTGCACCCCCGTTTTCTAAATCCTACATCCACCCATGGTCTTAATCTCTCTTTTCTATCTGGGTGCCCTGCAGACTCTTGTTAGCTAAAAACCTTAACTGAGGTGTGATCGTGTTCACTCAGGTGTAGATGTGACTGACTGTGAAGTATTGGAGGCGCTGTTCAGGTGCTCCAGGAGGCTAGACTTTGCTTGATGACTCTCAATGAGAGATGTACATATAACGAGAATGCTGACAGTCACTGTTGCTGCTGGATTGAATTTTACACTACGGTGTCTGCAAAAGAAAACACTCAAACCTGCCAAGAAAAGCTCCTTGCAGTAAAATATTATTCATATTTCACATTTACAATGCTGCCATGCAGTAACAGTGCACATATTATTACAATTCTTGGGGTGTTTTTCTTGTATGCATACATACACATATATTTAATGGTGGAACCATTTGCATGTTCAAAGGGGCTGGACTCGATGGTCCTCCCGGGTCCCTTCCAACCCAAATGTTTATGAAATCTGTCTGAAGTGTTTGGTGGGGGCAGGATGTGGTCACGCTTCCTTCTGGTGCTGGTGTTTCATGTTTCCCAGAGCAGTGACTGGATGGACGCTCTCCTGAGCAGGCACTTCTCACCTGGGAGGTGTCTCTGAGCTCCATCACGATGCAAATGACCTTGAACAAAGGTGTGGGGGGAGGGTTCGGGTTCCTAGTGGTCAAACCTGTTTCTTGGGGCAGGGTGGGGGGGTAGCAGAGGCAGAGCAGTCATTGCCCAGGTGCTGGGGACCGAGGTGGGAGGAGGGAGACCCCTCAGGTGGGTCCAGGGTGAGGGGGGGGCTGCGGGTCAGGAGTGAGGGGCGCCGCCGGGCTGGGGAGGCAGGGCTTCCAGGTTCGGCGTAAGGGGCACCGCCAGGAAGGGGGAGAGGACCTGGGCCCCTGGAGGAGATGGGGGTGGGGGCTGCACATTGCCTGGGCTGCAGGCAGGTGCACAAGGACTGGGGTAGGAGCTGTGGGGGGCTCCTGGAGCCAGCCCTGTTCCTGCTGCCTGTGCGGGGGCTGCAGGGAGCTGGGACAGCCAGGGAGTGGGGGATGGGCCGGGCTGGGGCTGGGGCTGGGGCTGGGGCTAGGGCAGGGTCAGTCCTGGGTCTTCTGTCACCTGGTCTGAGCCATGCTGCTTCCTTTCCTGTAGTCCATGGAGACTAGATACTGCTGAGAGTGAGGCCTCTCCTGGCGGAGGAAACGGAGGCGGCGCTGGAGCCCCTGCCACCCGCGGACCTTCCCTGCGCAGCCCTGGAGCAGCCGGGGGTGACGATGGAGGAGCAGCTCCCAGGAGGTCCCCAGACAGGAGCGGACAGGGCAGGACAAATCCCTTGTGTGGCCCATGCTGGGATCAGGCGCCTATCCCTGAGATGGTCGGCCCCACAGGAAGTTGAGCAGGGGCTCGAGGAGGAGCTGGGCCAGCACCAGGAGATGCGGGGGCAGGAGGTGAAGCAAATTGTGCAGCCCCGTCTGTGCTTGCATGACCCGTACAGACCCCACTGCTGGCACCGGGGCATGAGCTCCCCGTGCCAGAGACCTGGTGCCAGCACATCCAGGGCTGCGCTCCCAGGAGGCTGAGGGCCTGCGGGAGGTCTACAGCTGCCTGTGGGAGCTCTGCCAGCACTGCAGCCAGGACCAGACAGTGGAGCTGGTGGTGCTGGAGTTGGTCCTGGCCATGCTGTCCCAGGAGATGTGGAGCTGGGTGTCGGGGCGCAGGGTGGAAACCTGGGACAAGGCAGTGACCCTGGTTGAGGGGGTTTGGCTGGGGCAGGTGGAGGATGAGAAACTCCATGTGTGAGCATTTCATCCTGATCGTGGATGCTGCCAACCTCATCTCTGTGTGCCTGGGGGATGTCTCCTGCCAACCCATCTCTCCCAGTCCCAGTTCCCTGGTGACACGCTCCTCTTGTCCCCAGGTCACGGTGAGCGTGAAGGTCAAGGAGGTGGCCTCAGACAGGATGCAGCCCTCTGGGGCGCTGCAGCAGCCTGGTGATCCCTGGTCGGAGCAGGCACGGGCCCAAACTATGGACGTGCCTCTGGAGGAGGCAGCACAATGGGACAGCCCAGGGCCTCGGGACCAGCTACCTCGTGGCCCCAGAGAAGAGCTGATGCCAGGCCCAGAGTCAGGTGAGGGGCCAGGTGCAGGCTGGGGCATGGGTTTGAGTGCTACAGTGGTTGTCCATCTTCTGCCTCTTCCACAGGTCAAAGCCTCCGGCTGCCACAGTCACAGGCCAGTACGGGAGAACAGCAGGCCTTTCCCCTGCAGGCAGCACCAGGCCTGAGCTGTGCATTGTCTTTCCCACCCACAGCTGCAGGAACCGTGAGCAGAGCTCATCAGCAGCCTCCTCCAGAAGGGGATGCAAACCTGGAGCTGCCAAGGACTACCTCGGGGAGGCTGGGGGAGAGAGGCTCCCTGACCCTTGAACCGAGCCAAGTGCAGCAGGGGCAGGGGAGGCTGGTAAAGCAGGCAGAGAGCGCAGAGGTGAGCAGGGCACCAGCTCCAGCTGGAGGTAGGAGTGCAGCTGGGGCTGTGCTAGGGAGAAGCCAGGGGTGTAGTCAATCGTTTGGAGAGAGCTAAGGAGCAGCAAGCCTCTGGTGACAGGGGCTGCAGCCACACAAAGCCGGCATTTGCCAGAGCTTGCCTTCAGTGCCGAGAGCCAGGGGTTCTGGCATGGGAAGGCCAGGCCACAGTCATGGAGCCCCTGGCTCTAAAAGGTGCTGCCTCGAAGGGTTGAGCACATAGAACGGGATAGGCTGGGTCAGGGCAGACACGTGGACCCCTACACCCATGGCTTCACCCACATCCCCTCTCAGTGCAGAAGGGGGCATTTTGCTCCCCTGCGTGTCATGGCCCAGCCTGCAGAGAGGGGTGGCGCAGAGGGATTGTGGAGAGGGTGGCAGGGGCTGGAGGCAGCTGGACCAGGAGACACTGATGGGGTAACGCTTGTGCCTGCAGCTCCCGGAGGCCTTTGAGGACGTGGCTGTGTATTTCACACGGGAGGAGTGGGAGCTGCTGGAAGACGCACAGAAGGGGCTTTACCGGGACCAGATGCTGAGGAACTGGCGAGCCCTCGTTTCCCTGGGTAACGCTGTTTCCTG